TAACTACTCTAGCTGCTATATTATAATACTGGCACCATTGTAGGCTAGTCGGCTATTTTTGGATACAACACTTAGTTATCCATCTAATTCCGCTTATTTCATAGTAAATGCTGTCTTATTAAGTAAGTGTTTGCATGTACAGAGATAAATATTAATCCTCAAGTACTTCCCATATCTGTTCCTTCGATACAACAGATGAATATTTATAATATTGATGGTCATACTATAGGCATATAGCTAGGGTATAAACTATTACAAGTACATAACTTGTAAATCGCATGCAAATGAAACCGTTTAAATACACGTGTATATATATATACATACATGTACACACATTATATATATATACATATATGTATATGTCTATATATATATATATATACTTTTTCAAACAGGTTTACACGTGAACAAACGTGTGTATGTGTATGAAAAATATGTGGACATATGCATATACGTATATGTGGGTGTCTGTTTTTGAGGTGTATATATATATATGTGTGTTTGTGTGTGTGCGTGTTTGAAGTACAGTAATGGGGTGTATAAGATTTTAATAACCTGTATTCTGAAAGGAAAAACGCAGTTGAAAATACAATTGACAAATCGAGGTTGATCTATTTACTTCATGATGTATTTATTTATGTGTTTGTTAACCTTTGTACTGAAATACAAATTCGGCAAGGCTTAAACTACTACAAACAGATGTTAATGGAGGGCCAGCAGAAGATTCATCTTTCATTTTATCATTGCTTTTATTCTCATTCGCATTTCATGTTCTTGTATGCAGATGTGTACATTGATTCAAATCCTTATGACACCTAAGCTTTAATAAACGGAAGCACATGTATACAACACGTGGCCCGATGTACTCCAGGTTAAACGCATATCGCATAATTACATTGTCTTCCCTGGTATATATACATGTGTTTATTTATGTATCTTCTCCTTAGTTGACATGCATACCATGTCTTGGTTTCTCTCATTCATAGAGCCATTAACTAGAACATAACAAGTTCATATACTACATATACGTATCCCTTGTACATTCTGTTAACGTTTGTGCGTGATTATGTACCAAGCGAAGGTTGAATGGGCGTATATTGAAAAACTCTCGTGTATATGTTATAACACGTGTCTATATAAAGACTGAATGGTAAGATTTCTTTTTATATAGATGTGAGGTCTAGACAACAAGAGAGTACTGTTCATAATGCGCACAGAGATGTGAACAAATACTACGTTGTCGGAAGACCGACATATTTATACAAGGAATAGGGAAATAGTGCTATATGTATATACATATACCAATACAAAGGGCCAAAAACTTGTTAACCAATATAAGGACAGTTGAATATGAGTTCCATATACTCACGCAGACACACACACCCATATTTATATTGATATATATATATATGCAATCATATTAATATATATACCTACGAAGCTTCGTATATATATATATATACATACATAGATAGATAAACAATCTAAAGTAGGAACACCGGAAAATAACGGTACTAGTGCTAGTAGTAGTGTACGTATAAATGTATATATATATATGTGTGTGTGTGCGTGTGTGTGTGTGTGCTGGACGGCACAACAACATGCTTCACTGTCCTTTGCTTGGAGTCGGGAAAATCCGCAACAGGTACGCGCGTTTGCTAGCAACCGATCCGTTTCCAAGGACCGTGTCTCTAGGCGCTAGAGCTCTAGGCCAGACACATAATCATAACCAACAACCTCATATGGAGTGAACTCACTTGCTCGCAAAAGCTGCCGATTCATAGCTTNNAAGCATTCGTGCGAAGATGCATTTACACATCACCAAACATCAAAAAAGGTGCACGCCCACAGTCCCGCGGACTTGCTTGCTTGCTGGCGGCTTAAGCGCACCCCTCCACGCAATGAGCCCAGCCGAGTCCAAGGTCTTGTCAGGGTCACAATTTTGTGTCCCCCGGTTTAGTACTACAGAGGTCCAAGTGGGTTCCGACGACGGAAACAAAACATAACTGAAGCATGAAGTCAGAACGGCATGGACATGTGTGTTTCCCCTCATGTTAAGAGGAAAAGCGCAAGGCGTGGACTCTCTCTCTCTCTCTCTCTCTCTATACAAAAATATGCGTGTGTGTGCGTGTGTGTGTGTGTGTGGGTGGGTGTCGTGGTCTTAGACGTGTGATTGACCAGATGCCCGTCGCCTGGACCTGCAAGGAGTGGTCGCGGAAGCTCGCATGTGGACTGACTGGTGCAGGCTGCCTCCCCAGCTCGAGATCCTGGCATTGAAGAACATCGATACCAACAAAAGCACACACACACACACACACGCGCACACACACACACGCGCACGCAAGCACACATGCGCCTGCATACGCCTGCATATGTCATATGTGCACACATGATTCTTATACATTTGTGTGTGTATATATATATATATTGTATATGTATATGTATATCTCCTGTTCTACGCATCTGCGAAACTTCGATGTATGTGCTGCACATCCTCTCGCCGCTGCGCTGCTTGCAAGGGCAACTCGTGTCCGGTATGTTTCCGTTTTCATAGCCCAGGACCTTTTTTGGAAAAAATGAACTGGGATCCTCAGAGCAAGATGAAGATGTCTGCCGCTGTCTTTACTGCCTATTACTCGTAAACAAAAGATTAGAGGGTCGACACGTTCTTCCCTCTGACTTTGTGTTGTAGTGTTGGGCACGTCTTCGCAGCTGCTACTTGCGGAATCGTGGGACAGTTTGCGAGCCGGGATGCTGTGTCCAAACCAGTGGCGTGTCATCGTTCGGGACCCACGTTTCCTTCTCCAAGTAGTACGCCTGGCAACTCCAGCATCTCCAGCTTTGAAGATGAGGTGCTAGAAACTCACTGAGCTTGGCTTCCAAGCAAAGCACAACACCGCCAGCTCCTGGTAAACACTGCAACTGGCGGGAAAGAAATCAGAAAGGGGTATACGAATCCGCGTGGTCTGCACGATTTAAGATGACGCGATCCGTCATGCTTTAAAGCAAAACGTTCCTGTCTGGCTGGGCTGCCTTGTCGTCGCATGAAGTATACGGAAGACGCCGTTACCATTCCAGGCATGCTAAACTAGCGATCTTATCGTCACATCTCTCCAAGTCAAGCATGCTATCCAACATCCCCTACCAGATCTGATGTGCATGCGTTTCCCCTACTCTGATCAGCTCGTAAATCGTCCATGCCAGTCCCCTTCAATTTGGTGCCTCTGCACAGTGCCATGGGCCGTACGGGCAGGAATCTCCAGTTATCGCCGCGAGCGACCTGCAAAGATGCAAAGCAGGGGAAAAGTCGTGGAATCGCAGAGAAAGCATGAAGGCCCAAAGAGGCAAAAACTGCAGTAACCCTCTGGCAACAGAGCCTTACAGTAAGTAGGAGGACAACCCACAACTTCCCGGCGCCTTGCAAGGAAAAGCTGCTGCAGAGTCAAGTATTTGGCATCCTGTTGCGCAAGCTGCAAGGGCAGATGGTCCCTCACATCATCTCCCTGGTTCTTACTAGGGAATGGGGGAATGGATCCCTATGATAGTCCCTTAAGGTTCCTTATAGTAGTCCCAAAAACCCATTCCTCCATTCCCTACTAAGAACCAGTCAGTCATCGCATCTCGTAGCCGAATCCTTCGTCTTCTGGTACATGCGGCCGTAGAAGGCGCTGACCATCCTGGCGTTTCAGGAGTTTCTGCCGTACTGTGGCAGGGAGTTACTGCAACATGTCATGGATTGCTGTACAGGGTACTGTAGGGTTCCCACAATAATCAGGATTACTAGAACAAGTAGAAACTAGTAGGGTTCATATGATCGTAGGATTACTTCAATGGGGCACCTCAAAGCTGGATGCTGCCAAGCATCGGGTCGAACAAGCACCACTGAGCTTCCTCGCCTTCCTTCAGCAGCCTTCCCGAGATGAACTCTGCGACTCAGGCATTTTTAGGCCATGAAGCTGCTTACCATATGCCCGTACTATTCCTTTCCATTTCGCTCTGCTATGATTATTATGTTCTATTAGATTCTACCATACTATACCATACCGTACTACTAGATTCTACCATACCCCCATACTATACCATACCAAACCCAGCCTGTCTCTCTCTTTCAGCTCCTCGTCTGTGAAATGCTTAGTCGGATCATCACCGACCTTCTCCTTGTAGTCCTGTCGGTAATTACACTCTGAGTCGGACAGCTGACTATGTCGCACCGCAACTGAATCTGAGAGGAGCCCCACGGAAGATTACACTCTCTGCGAAGCCACGACCACCAACAAATGCACACCCATACAGGTTCAGAGCATGTATTCCCGTCAGGCCACCTCACTTGTTGTTTGGACCATCGGAACTCGGGCAATGCAGGCGAGGCTGCTCCGTGGTTCGCAGGTTTTTTTACATGTGGCCCCAGGTCGGCATCCCGCCTGCTCGTATCCCCAATCGATTAGGCACAAATAAAACAAGCCCGTAAGAGATTACGTTACAAGAGCCAGACTTTCAAGCGGGGCTACGAGGCGCCTCTCGAGCCTTGTGCTGGCTTTCGTCACCCCAATGGCCAATCAAACTTGGGGTTTCGGGTCTGCGGGATACGATTTCGGGATGTTTGTGGTATCCCTGGAGCTCCGACCCGTCCCTCAGGTCCTTGCACCAGTAGCTATCCTGCAAGGAGGGAGTGTACAGGCCATAATTGGCGACTTTCTTACAGTCTGTACTACATATCTCTCGCTCAAGACTTGCCTGCAGTGCTGGAGATAAAGTGCTTTGCGAAGCAGCTGCACAAGCTCATGTCCCAAAAAGAATGCGGGTTGCAGCACTCAGGCCTTCCGGTAGCGACACATACCGATGTGGCCCATGACCTTGGCCAAAGCACAGTCTAAACTCTAAACCCATCTCGATGTTCTCAAGAAGATCCAGCCTTCTTCAGTCGGTCCATGATTTGGAGTGCTGATGCATCATCAACCACCTGCTCACATGCACTTCACATGCTCTTTAGGTCCCTTTCGCCTGGTCCTGGAAGCCAAGGCCTCCAACGGATATGCGAGGAAAACCGTCGCGGAATCGGAGTCTCTCGCCAAGTCTGTGGGGAAAATGATCTCCTCGCGACAAGGAAGAGCTTGGCTAATTATTACAAAAGCTAAATTGAAAAAGGCAGAGGTGCTCATGCTAAGGGCACGGCATTCGGCAAAATCTTTCCCAGCGCAGACTGGCAAAGATCGCATTCTCACGGCTTCACGGCTTCAGTTCGTACCCGTGGGCCCCTGAACCTGGAGGTTCGATTCCAAGACATCCAAGGTGTCGCTCTTGCATGGTGGCACGAAACCATCCCTGGCAGCTACCTGCAAATCGGCAGGAATAGCAGCGCATGGGCGCATGACTCAGCACGTAGTTCTCCATTCGACATCCAACACAGCTGCACTTTTCAGGCCTTCTTGAAGAGTTTCACAGCTGCCAGCGGAGGCCTCAAGGTGACTCATTGACATCAGACTTCAGCCAGAGCCAGAGCTCAGAGGAGCAGGCCCAACGGAGGATGCATGCACCGCAGAGTGCTCCTCCCAATGGCCTGGCACTGTGTTGACAAACCTACCCAGCGGCCTTTCGAACAGTCACAGCACGCTGCCTCCGTCCAGGTCCTCCCAGCACTCAATCGCCCGCAGGTAGTCGAACAGCTGGCAGATATATAATTCAAGTTGCGAACATGCGTTAACGATGGCATCATTGATCTCGGTGAGGGGGCCGCCGCTGACTATGCACAGTACTACGTCTCATTTTGGAACCGGATCTGGGAAAAAAACACTGGCCTGTCCCATGAGTTTGAGGTGCTCTCCATCAAAAGGCAATTTCTTGTGCCAGGCCAGCTGGGTTCGAGCCTGACCAGTGCTGGGCCACCAGGCCACAAACACCAGCATACAACTGGCAGGAAAGGAGATGAAACCGAATGAAACGAGTTTAGGTAGCGGGCCCACATGAAGTAGCCCAAAGCATCGTTCTGCTTGTGGTTGTACCTACCGCACCAAGCGGCTCAAGGTTCACTTCTTAGTGGTTCGGCCTGGGGCGGCCCGCCACTTGGGATCTTCCAGGCCGGTCTCGCCAATGAAACGGATGTGGGGTCCTTGGATGCTACAGAAGATAATAGTAACAATCATGAATCATAATAATAATACGAATCATAATACTTCTAATAAACAAAGCTAGTGAGAATAACACGCTAAATATTTAATACAGTACTAATACAATTTACTAACAAAATTAAGAAGAATAACACCAAGAACCGTACTGGCCATAGGAGATTATCGTAATCAAAGAGTACAGAGAAAAAACCTAATCACCCTGAGAAGAAAAGAATAATGATCTTTATCGCAACAAAAATTTCAACAATAGCAATAATAATATACAGATAGTAACAACCCTAAACTCAAGCCTCAGGCGGCTCCCAGTGCATTGAACGAAGGCACGGTCCATCCAGGTCTTCTCGTCCCCCTTGACATCCTTGAGTCTTCCACAGGAGCTTATGACACAAGCAGGGCCAAAAGAGGGCTGGCCTTCAAGCCGTTGATAACCATCTCCATTTTGTGGCTTTGGTATTTCCTGACTCTGAGATTGAGTGGCCGCGGCAAATCGCTCAAAACTTCCACACGACTCTAAATACCGCGGCAGATGAAACGTGGAACAGCTGCAACCTGGCAGCAACAGGAACCGCGCGATGCAGGTGAGGCAGGCTACCGCGTCATCGGAGCCTGGCCCCTGGCAGGAGGAAACCAATACAAAGGCCGGCACTAACAATCAGAAATGTGCGGGAAAGATGAAGTTATCGGCCTCTGGGTCAGTATAAAACAACCCCCAAGCGATGATGCAGTTGTCACCTTGTTGCCGCGAAGTTACATCTGACACAATGGGGGACAAGACTGTGGCAGGATTAGCGTAAGCATTGTTTCATTGCAGCGAGTCACGTAGCCAGCTGCCAAACATACCTCACAAAAACTCCGCAGAAGCTGCTGAGACCCCAGGAAACTTTCTTATACGACACATGACGGGTTGAAGTGTTGACAAGATGCTTGATCCAGTGTGATCGCCTTTGGCATTCGCCGCGGAGGCGCTGAATGTTCCGGTGGGCTTGCCATCCTGCATGCAAAAGGCATAGATAGCAGTGATCTTACGAAACAGATTGGAGTCCAGAAGCGCCTCTTTCAAACCCCTCAACATCCGAGAGGAAGATGTGGCCGACAAGCGCAGTCACTGCTATGCCACTCTTTGGCATCTGCAGCGCAATGGCTGCTTTGCAGCGAAAGTCGGCCACGCGCATCGTCGTGTGCGGTGAAACTTCATGCCACTGCTTCAACTTGCTTCCAGCATCTGCCAGCAGTTCCTGTGGGACACTCCACAAACCTTCACAAGCCATCCGTAAACAGTCCAGTGGACTCCAGTCTGTCTCGATATCGGTGGTCCACCTCTTTCTGCAACCAGATATAAGCTTGCGAGAAGGAAATTTCAGGACAGACCAACACGTCAGGTGGGTCGGGTGCCCGCGAGTCCAGTGAGCCATGTCGCAGTACCTCTTTACGCCAACTGATCCAGTCGTTCTTAGATCTCTCTGCCTGCACCCCATAGAAGCACATAGAGTTCCACCAGGTGTCGATGATCCGCAGAAGCACTTTTCGTGCAATCTCATCTCGTTCCCTGGAGTCCAGTCGCAAGCGATCCATGGAGTCAAAATGTTTGCTGAATACCTTACTTGTCCAGTTCCCTATAAGAAACTCTAGGTTGACCTTTGGGATTATGATGGGACCGTTGTACTATAGTAACTATAGTAGCTGCTATAATGCCCCAAACACGCTGAAGGTTGCTTACTCTTTGCTACCTTTCACTAAGATGCCAGCGTCTTCCTCGGTGTCCGACTCATGGCATCGCTCTGAGCTAAACGCTTCGAGGCTCTGGAATCAACAAGCGTCGCTGCTGCGAGTGTCATCTGTTGTCGAACTTCTGATTGACAAGGTAGGATGTTTAGGGAATCGTCTTCTGGATTCCCTCGCCTAGCTGAGGGTGCATTGGCATAGTCTTCACGCCATGCCCGAGCTCTCTGCAGCATCATCTGCTTCACTTCGTCCTTCCAACGTTCCACATCCGCCTCTTCTAAAAAGGCCTCGATTCGTGCGCTTGCCTCGGCTTTGCGTACCCGGCAGGTGTCGCAAAGTGCTAGAGTCTCCGCACACCACAAGTACGGCTTCAAGATGTGCTTCTGTATCGTCCCAAAGATGCGAGCTTGATGTCGCATGGCCTTCTGCACAAGCAGAACCGATCGCACAAAGTGCTTCACAGCACGCCGTAGCAAGTACGCCCGAGCGGATGCGCCAATGAAGCTCTTCAGTGCCTCTGCAGCAGCTGCTTTCCGCAGCGGGCGTCGGAGTCGTATGTACACAACTAGAAGTCGCAGCATTTTTTTCCAGGCTGTCCAGATCGACAGACTCCGTCGTCGCCGCAACTCAAGGTCACAGAGGTGGGTTACATGAGTCTGCACAGCTTCACAATGCCGGTTCGTGAACAGGCTCAGGTCCTCCCCCCGCTCCAAACAGATTTGCCTGAAGTCGTCCCGGTACACCCTGATCGCTTGGGTGCTGTCACCGCAGACCGCGTGCCTAATCTGTCGATGGACTGTCACCAGTTTTTGCAAAACCTTTGAAGTCAAAGCGAGGACGAGAAAAGTGAGCCAGGGCCGCTCTCTCTGGGCCCTCAGGTGCCGCGTCTGCCGCGAGCGTATGCGGAGGGCCTGGTCGACTCGTCTCTCGAGCTCTGCGTCCCGAGCTCGCATGACCACTTCACGGAGCCGGACGCTGCATGGCGGAGTTCGCACGTCTCTGGGAGTGCAGGCTCGAGTCGGGGAGGTCCTTCCAGAAGCTTGGCTCCGGGGACGACCTCCTCTCTCCAGATCTGTCTCCTTCACTTTCAGCCCGCGAGATCGTAGCTTCGCCACATTCACCAGAGGCTCGCCGCACGAGGTCTCTTGATACATGAAGCCCTCCTCTACAACTCTCGTCAACGACTCCACCTCGTCGGTGTGATCCCGGAAATATTCCAGCTTCACACCCAAGCGGCTGGTGCAAGAGTTGATCTTGCGAACCTCTGGCACTTGATGAACACTGGTCCCTGTCTGATGTCTCGACAAAGCTTGCAACGCTTTCTTTTTTTGACCCCCGCTTGCATAATACTGGCTGTGAATCCACACATCCAAGTCTTCATCCGTGTTGGACACCTGTCGATTGCGCTTTGGCTTAGACTCAGACTTCGGCCTCGGTGAGGACTCCAGCACTTCATGCGGCGAGGCCGCGTCGGCATCTGGCTTTGCAGACTTCTCAGCTTCGTTGGCTGTGGCATTTCTAGATGTCAGCCCGGGAGCTTGCTCCAGCATCCGGCAAATCTCCGGACTCAGCGCTACTTGCGGCATATCTGCCAGGCATGGGTCGGAGTGCGTGAAGCGAGGGCAGAACTAGGGACATGTAGGCTAGAGCCATAGGCTGTCATATGCCAACACAATCCAACACACCCACGCCTTCTCAGAGTAGATGCAAAAACCCGATCCCCTCTCTGCCTGTACCAGTTGCCAGCTTATGCCCTCCCTGGACTCCCTGGTCCCTCTCCTTGCCAATGCACTTGGCTTTGCCTGAGATAGGCCCATGGCAGGCGCACGTAGTCACAGAATCACAGACACGGCGCCCGAGAACGCCGAGCCGAGCCGCTCGTGTCCAGGGTCTTCTTGGCGAGAAGCAGGGCTTTGAGCTCCTGAAGCTCCTCTTTCCGCAGCCTTGGCACAGAAAGCTTCGGCAGAAACCCAGGAAACTACTACCTCACTGATGTCAGGTGGCGGTGGTTCGACTCGGCAGTACCTTTCCAGGGCTGGCTGGAAGGGTTTGCCCAGTACAGCCGGCAGATCCATGCTCCTTTCGCAAGATGTGTGCTGCGAATGCCAAAGTCCACAAGCTTTGCTTTATATTCCGTCTCTTCCCAGCCTGGTGTCCTGGCCGTGTGGCCCAGGATGCTGGGCTGTCACCCGTGCCGAAATACGCTGCGCTTCAGTTCTGCCCACGGCCAAACTCATGCAACCGGGGCAACTGCATGTCAATATGAGTGATCATGAAGAGTGAAGACTGGGTCGGCTGGGTTCGTTACTTGCTGGCACCACGCAAATCGCGGTGTGGCAAAAGACCTGTTACGGTGGCACTCTGGCTCCTATGCAAGCAACAAAGCTTACACTACACCTTGCAGCCTTTTTTGAAGTCCTGTCTGACAAGGCTGAGCACAGGGCCCCATCCTAAGGAGCTCGGCACCTCCAGCAATAGCCTTGCGAAGGAGCAGCTGTGCACCGCCACTGTGCCTCTGCTGTCGCTGGGGCCCACGCGGTGAGCTGCCGCATCCCTGCACTGAGAATCCATCTCAGCATGCCGCGCTGGCCGTGGCCGCCCTGCCCTTGGAGATCCGAAGTTCTCTTTGACGATGTTGCAGTCCTTCCGTTGCAGGGCCGGGGGAGCCATTCTGGCACTCGGGGAGTATCAGAGAACCCTGGTGCGTGGCGAGGCGCGAGTCAGACACGATGCTGCTGTACATGCTTGCGCTATCGCCAGTCCTTGTCACACACACTCTCACACACACACAAGGTCGCCAACTCACAGTGGGTTCTACCACTGTTCTACCACAAGCCGTTGCCTGCAGCTTCCCGGCTTTACCTCCCCTGTATTTCTGCTGGCCCGGCCCGACATTAAGGATGATTGTTGCCGGAGCATTCGGAGGCTAGGAACTGAACTTCCTCTGAACTTGAGTCACTTTCCTTGCATTCGATTCCTCTCAAAACATTGAGCCTCTTCCAGGAGCTTTTTCGGCAGTTCATCTTGCAGGTTGAATGGGGGCTTGGTTGATTCAGGCTCTTCAGCTTGCTTTTGATTTTTTGTTTGTGGGTGTGTGCTTGCTGTCAACGCGTTCCTGTTGAGTCGGCCAGACGTGCATGTCTGTTCGGACCCTCTGAGCATCGGGCTCCTCCAACTTGATGCCTGTCAGCTTCGCATATTCTACCTTGGCGACCGCTGGCAGAACCACCAGTGGGAACCCTGCGACTGCTGCGGCCGAAGTTAAGCGCGGCGCAGATCTACCTCTCTTTCGGCAAGCGACGCTGCAGTAGCATGCATCGTGACCTCGTGAAACCAATGAAATTGGCTCCAACTGCATGGTGCCTAACATTGCCTGACACTACCTGGGGAGCCTGCCCATGTAGACTGGCATGCCTTCTTCAATGACTGTAACCTCTGGCGAGTCAAGTCAAGTCCAATCCCTGGTCACACAGAGTCATTAATTCTAAGCTCCCTGCGCAGTGGTGGCACCTAAAATCTGCGAGGCCTTGCCAAGAGTGGATTTGCATTGAAACCGAGGGGCCACGTGCGAAGACAACCATGATATCCAGACCAGTGGGAAAGGACTCTCTGTCAGCATTGAACATTGGCATGTATTAGGGAAGTGTCGAAGTGGATCCGAATGCTCGCCATGCCTCTTTGTTGCACACCTCTCACTCCTCACAGGCTGAGGACGGATGACTGCTGGCTGTTGCAACTTCATATCCACCATGCGCATCGCAATATTCCCATGGGTGAATTCGGCCAAGAACATCCAAGAACTGATGGGAACTGAGACGGCGGACATGGGAAAGCTATTCTGGGGTGGGTTTCGGACCACAGAACAAAGGAGCAACAAAGCGCAAAACAAACCACGAAACGACGTACGGAAGGTAGCAAGACCCAGAAGAAAGACGAGAACTGCAGGCGGGAAGCAATGAGAAGGCGGCAAACGGGAAGGACGCAGTACAGGAAGAAAGCTCGGCTTCTTTTCGTCGTGGTCGATGTCGGGGATGGAACGTCACCAACATATAAGACTTAACAACTGGCACAGGCAACGGAAGATCCATGACCCGGCCATCCACTGACACTGAGATTGAAACCCATTGTCGCGAATGCCCTGTGCGCAGCTATTTGCTGGCCTGCTCATCAAACAGCACATCGGAAGCAGGGGACTTGACGACAAAGCTCAGCTTTCACATCTTCAGAGGCACCTCGTCTGCTGCCTTGATCTCCTGAAGCCTGAGTTTACGTGCTTGACGTGAGCAACTGGAAAGACAAGGTTTCAGGCCATCTTATCTTCCTCAAAGACTGGCCGCAAGCAAGTGCTGCCAGGTAGCAAATGCTTTTGAAAGGCAGCGGCTGCTGCGACAGTTGCGAGCCAAAACAGTGCCAACCCGGCGATGATGCGATATGATGCGATTTGTCATGTCGCTTTCCTTCCCGGGGGAAGTAGCAGCTTGTACCGACGGCTCCTGAGACAAAACGTCGTCTACCTAAATCTTCAGGAGGATCCTTTTCTCCGGTGGCAGCTTTGGCCCTTTGCACAGAGCGTTGCACCGGTAGTTGGGCGGATCAGTGATGGGGGCTGGGACAGAGCAAGTTCAAATACGTGGATTCAGACCTGCCAATCATGGCAAGAGGCAACAACTCACACCGCTTGGCATCCATGGGCACAAGCATGCCGCACCTCGAAGCTACCAATATTCGACCACCTGGTGGCACATGCCTGCTATATATTAAGTGCCGCAGACACGGACATCAACCAGCATCCGTACGGCATTAGACGTGCCAGGCCAAGCTCCATGCTCTGCAAGTCTCCAAGGCCTGGCCACTGCAGTGATCAGAGGAAAGGATGCTTACAAAAGGACGATAAAACGCGTTCCCGAGGGCGCCGCTGGCGACCTGAGAGCGCGAGGCGTTTTTTCCTATTTTTTGCACGTTGTGTTGCTGCATTTGCTGATGCATCGCTTCATGGCGGCCGGAGCGGAGAGCTGCGTATACTGCAGGCGTCATCAGCGGCGGCATTGTATCATAACCGGCAGCAGCGGCATCATCATCATCATCATCATCGGCAGGAGCCAGCATGATCTTACTGCTGCTTCCACTATTGCCGTGCTACCTGCCACCCGGCTACCACTACCAGTAGCGGCTCTTACCTGATTTCAGCAATACTAGAGAACGCGCAGTGCTCAAGCAGCATTCGTAGCATGTGCTTCAGTGCTTCAGCTCGACAAGCAAACGCAAAATAAGGGACATAGCAGTGGCCATCGCCATCGTCGCCAGCAAGATGGCAGTAGTAGGAATTCAAGTCACTTTGGGAGCCCGACATAAGGGGCACGGCCGCGATGACTCACCGGAGCATGCTTGCTGCCATCGTCGTATGCCTTGGCAGTGCCTCCCTGTGCAAGCAGTGCACACTGTGTCACTGTGTCGTACAAACCTTGGCCGCCTGCAGTCAGCATGAAAGTTGTTGCCGCAGGACCAGCAAAAAACAAGCTGGCCTGGCTGGGTCTTACGCTCTCACAACTCGGACAGGCCAGGCGAGGTCTCACAGTAGCAGGTCGGCGTGAAACGGAACAAAGGCGGCTTGTGCTTGGCTGGGTCTTTGGGTTTTGCATGCTTCTGACGCATGCGGAATCCAAGCAACACACCGGCAAAACCGAGAAAAGGTGCTGCCTGCCGCCTCCTCGGACATGCGCATGGCCTTCGGTGGCTTCTTCGCTTCATGCTGCATGCATGGGCATCCTTCAACTCGAAGCAATAAGCCTCGAAACAGACCGCGCAATCTTCGCCTAGCGGGTATCAGCCAGGAGCGACGCGCTTTATGTCGATAGACTTGCTATGGCTGGATATGACTTGCTTGAGTTCTCTGTCACTTTGCTGGCCTTCAACTGGTTTCCGACAACTTCCAGTCTCCTGTGGCGAAATCAGTCGGGAGAGTAGTGAGTAGTGCAGCTTTGAGAAGAGAGCTACTGAACCCTCGCGCCAGGAGAGCTTTTTGTCAAGTGCGCCGGCGCCAGATGCAGTATCGCGCGAAATGATTCCGCCTGTCGGAAACACCAAAGGGAACCTCGGGCATCAGCTGGCCAACAGTGTCCCCCTATCTGACACTTACGAAGCGTGACATATTGCACGACGCAAGTGCCGGCTGGAGACGTAGAAGGCCCTCCATGGCAAGGGGGAGCGGTCAGAATCGAGAAAAGGTTCGCAGTGCATCTCCTCCCACGATGCCGGATCCGGCGGCTCCTTCAGAAGGCCGTGGAGGCGCATGAGGCATACAGGTTGGAGCAGCGCCAGCAGCAAGTGCCTCTACTTGATGTGGCAAGACCAGATCGACATGAAGACTGCCTCACAACATGCAGGTGAGGAATGCGCCGGGAGGTAAAAAACTCCGCACGAGAGTGCTTGAGAGATGGGCATTCGTCTTCATGGTGGTAGCGCGAAGGCTCCCTCAAGTTCCGATCATTCATGTCCGGGGGCACCTGTCATTGTGCCAGTATCGCACTCTTACCTCTTCAATCGCGGCTGTGTCTTCCGTCGCCTGCCAAAGGCCCTCAGGCCACGGCGCGAAGGGCCTTCCAAGCAGATCTGAACTGGGAATCTGCAGAATCCAAGCCATGCTGAGACAACGCTCTGGGCTTGTTTCTCCTTTGTCCTTGGACCAACAAGAAGAAGAACAATCATCATCATCATCATCGTCACAATCGTCACCATACCCATATTTATAATCATAGCAGGGGCTCTAAGTGGTGAAGACCAGTTTGTTTGAGCAGGGACTGCTACCAACTATTTTGGATTCCATATTTCCGGCCTGGGGAGCTGGCCGTCGAATGAAGAGTTCACCCAGAGAAGCGGAAGCGGTCCGGCCTGCACTCTGCAGAAGTTTTTCGGGGTTTCGGTTTAGGGTGGTGTTTCGCGTCATCGGCTGGGTCGGCTGGGTCAGGAGCTGTCGGCCACAAGCGAAGATAACGACTTCCCATCGGCTGCATCCTTGTTCAGCTCCAACTAGCGTCAAGCCTCCCACCTGCTGCACTGTAGCCCTCGACTCCTCGACAATGGGTCATTTTACACGCCTATCTTAGGGCCCTTGCTCTCCTCTCCGAGTCTACTGTACAAACCCTGCAGGCCAAGGTCTGAATGCTCCAAAGTTTCAAAGCACAGCGCCAAGCAAAGGATGAGGCGGGTTCTCCGAAGACGAAGTAAGGGGTATATCCATCGGACGATGCATTTTTTGAACCCGCTATCCCGTCAGGATCAGGGCTTGCTCGCTCAGCTGGCTGAGCTTCTGCAAGGCCTGGCGCATCACTCCGACTCCTCACCACACGGACAAACCCGAAACGCTTTTGCATCCAGGACTCTCGCAACCAGCCGCAAAACCCGAAACGCAAAAAACCCGAACCATGCCACTGCCGTAGATCCTGAACCCTAAGCTTGAAGCCTCCATAGGACAAGTTCCGAACCGCAACAAAACATGGGCGCCTCTGACGCGCTCGGCTCCGAAGCTGGGTGGCCTCATCGCAATAGAGTATAGCAAAAAAAACGTATCCTGGAATATACTGACATGCACAAAAGTATCTTATAGTATGTAATGAATTGAATGGTGTGCTCTAGGGTCTTTATGGCATACTATACTTTATGATAGTACGGTCTCGGTGAAGCGCAAATGTCAAAGCAAGTGATCGTGGCAGTCTTCCTTGTCCAGCTCCCAAAGGGCACTAAAAGTAACGCCGGGGTTTGTCGGGACTGTAGTACCCAAAAATGGTTACAGTTTACTTAACTAGGAAGAGTTACACTTTTCTAGTCCCCATATAGATGCATTATAGGAGAAAGAGAGAGAGGGAGTGAGAGAGAGAGAGAGAGATATATATATATATATATTTTTTATTTATTTACACTACAGAGCCCTAGAGTATACTGTCACAGGCCCCAGTGGCCCGCAATGAGTCCACCTCGCTGCGCCCAGGAGAGCCATGGGCCCCAGCCCTGGGAATCCGAAATCAGCGTCTCGAAATTTCCGATGATCACCTGGGTGTGTCTTTTCCCTACTGCTTTCCCTTCAACTAATAACCTTGGTGATTAGTTGTCTTGTGGTGATCGGTGTTTTTGCCTCCCGCCTGTGTAGCTACCCTACGCTACAAGGATATGCAAGGTCTGATGCTGGTGATCGTACAAGCGACTCAGCTTACTTCACTTGCGTGATCGGTGTTTGGTTTCGAGGCTTTGGGGGACCTTTAACCCCTTGCTAAACAGCTCTGGGCACCCCTAACACCCCCCTACTGTACTACTACGTACTTTACTACTGCATTGCCTCTGTATTGCGGTACTGCTACTACGGCTACCACCACCACGACCACCACGACGACTACGACTACGACTACTAAACCATAAAGCCTAGACCCTTTTTCGGCACGGGCTTGGGGTGTGTGCCGGCAAGCTGGAATCTTGAGGTCTTCACAAGACACCAGCAAACCCTAGACCCTTTTCCTTAAACCGCGTACTACGACAACGACTCCGACTGCGACTATGATGATGATGACGACGACGACGAGGAGGAGGACGACGACTACTACTACTGCTACTACTGCTACTACAGCTCCGCCCCCACAAGCCTCTCCCTCGACAGCTCCAGGACGGGCCCAGACCCATTTGAAGAGAGCATCTCTCTCCACAGCCCCTTGACGCACCATCCACACACCCCTCTAAAGAGCCCATCTGCCTCTAGACTACGACTACGTACAGCGGGGGTCCACCTGAGCGCCGCCAGATTGCAGGGTTTTGGGGTGCGGGTGACTTCTACTGCCATTATGAAGTCGGGCTTTTCAGTGGTATTCGCTGGCAGGATCTGAAACTGTTGTGAACAGGACTACAAATACTTCGTCAAGCTGCCAAACCCCGCTTCGCGCGGGTAAGTGTCACGTTCAATCTTCTGCAGTCGCCAATGAAGCCAACGCTGCCACTCTTGTTGGCTCTCACGGTTGACACAAGGATCACATCCTGCACGGAACGGCAGATTTTGCTAGCGGAATCCAAGTACTCCTACAGTGTACTGTAGTGCGTCCGGAAGAGCTTCTGATCTGCACCGCCTGTGCGGAACGCAAGAAAGGCATCGGGTCATGTGATGTGGGACCTGCAACTACGTACCAGCGGTCCGACGGCCCGGCACTTTACGGCAACCCGGTCCTTCTCTCGCCCTTGAAAACCATCGACGGAGCTGACTTCGACTGCTGCCACTCCCTGAGCTGTGGCTTGACGCTTGCCTGGTGGGGGACAGCCCAGCAGCTTGCGTATCGCCCGCGCTTGGGCTGCATATGGCGTTATCACGCCCACATCCTCCGGCCTGACATCCTCCCAACGCAGCAAGCTCAGAAGGACCTCCTTGAGAGCCTCCACTTCCGCGTGATTTGAATAGGACGTGCCTTCTGAAAACTCCCGACCAAGGACTGGTAGGAACGAAATGGGTGCATCTGCATGCGGCCACGCAACACCCTGAGGTGGTTGCCGTCTCGCGCCTGAGACACCAGAGCGTATCTGGCCACTGTAGTACGCCAGAGATGGGTAAAAGGCAATGCATGGGTGCATGCGGTATTGGATATTCAGCAGGTGCGGCTCGACTCCTTGAACTGCGAGACGTTCAAAGAGCGATGTGCCAAAACCTTCAACGTCAACTTCGATATTGCTGACAGACGGTGGGAGCTGCCGGTGGTCTCCCACAAAGGCAACCGCACTCTCTGCTTTCATCTTCATCAGAGGCACAAGGGTCGACAATTCCGTGGCTTGGCCTGCCTCGTCCACAAGCACCCGTGCAAAACTCATCTTCTCCAAGACAGGATGGTCAGAGCCTGCACAGGTGGCACAGACCACGTCGGCGCTTGCGAGAACGCCCTTCATCTGCGAGTACTGCAACTGGGGGTCAAAGCCAACAGGCCCAAGGCCACTAGCCATTTGCATAAGGTTGTACTGCTCCAAGTCTGCACGTGTGGCTTCGGGACGGCCGATCCGCACAACGTTCAAGCTGGCCTTAGCGCAGCCGTCCACCAGGTTATCCACGGCGATGTTGCTGTCAGCCGAGCATAGAACCGGCCGAATGCCGGACTGGATCCAGCTGCGCACCAGAAGCAATGCGGTGGTCGTCTTCCCAGTGCCAGGCGGGCCCTGAATCAATGTCAGCCGCCTAGAATAGGCCATTGTTAAGGCTTGGCGCTGCGACTCGTTGGCCTCAAGGAGGAGACTCTGACCAGGGATCAGCCTTGTGAGAGTGGACGGCTCCGATGCAATGACCGCTTCCATTCCGGGCTGGCCGGGAGAGTCTGCATTCAGCAAGAGCTTTGTAATCCAGGTCGGAGCCGAATCCTGACCCTTGTCCCTGGCAGCCCCGTGCATTGCAGAAGCCAGAAGCTGCGGAGTCCACTGAATTTGTAAAGGCTGCTCTATGTCATCAACCTTGCACAGGCGGTGCAAGGCCTCAATCTGCCGGCTTAGGGTCACATGGTTCGCAATCCTGTCTAGGCGGCAGCTGCGGCCACGGGCTTTGTTGGCTGCAGCCGCAGGCGACTCCCCCACGATTCTAAGTTCCAGACTTGAGTCCCCCCAAGAGGCTGAGACTACTTCGACCTCACAGCAGATCTCGCCAGGTCGCTCCGTCTCACTACACTCGCTGGGGCTTGCCGTGTGCGGGCTGGTCAGAAGCAGCCAGTCACCTTTCTGGAAGTTGTGGGACCATCCACTGCTCACTCCCACGGGTCGCACCAGCACCTGCGACGCCTTGCTTCCAGCATTGATCTGAAGATGCTGGATGCATGCACCATTCCGATCTAAAACGAAAGCTGGCAGGGTGTGCGCCTGGGTAATCGCGGACTGTGCATCTGAAATGAAGTCTCGCACTGCCCAGCGAGCGAACCGCCCAAAATACGCCTTGCCAGGCGCGGAAGGAAAAAGGGCCATCTGCTGCGAATCGATGATATTCAGTACTTCCAGAGCTGCAGCTTCTCTGGTTCGCAAGCCAAAGCTGTCCACCAACTTGGCAAGCTGCTTCACCGTGATTGTTGATGATGCCATGCCACGAATATTCTCTGCGGCGCGCTCTGCACGTCCGACGCGCAGCAGCTCGACCAACTTGGAAACTGGTCCCTCACCAGCCGGTCTCTTTACCTGCGAAGCTGCAACCAGAAGTTCGGTTGGCACAAGCCCAGGTCGTATCGGATGTCGCAGCACAGGAGGAGCTTGCAAAGACACAGTGTGCACTGGGCGTTTCACCGGCGCTGGTACCGAGTCCTCTCTCTTGCGCTTTAAGACTTGAGTAGGCGGCGGCGCCTGCGCTAAACCTTGCTTTTGCAAGGAGTCTACATATTGTAGAGTAGCCTGCAGCTTTGCCGCCGGTTTGCTCTTACCCCAGCCTTCCTCAGTTTGCCAATCAAGTCTGTGGACACCGGAAGCCTCTAGGTACCTTTGAGTTACAGTCTACCTATTGGTTAGGATCCTATAATATAAATTTGGTTAACCAACAAAAGGAACTACAATGGAGACCATAGGTACTTGCCCAACACGAGAAGCATTGGTTCCCTGTGCTGCCAAGCCGCTGCCTTGATGGCAACACCCGGGACGGCGATGAAACATTTGAAGGATTGCAACCACTGCCCGGGGCCACGACTCTCATTAATCCTCGAAGGAACAGGTGAACTGAGACATTGCACCCTTGTTGTAACCCTAAGTAGCAGTAACCCTCAGAGGTGCGGCTTCAGAGAATCTTCCGCACAGGTGCTTCAAGTTCTCCCGCTACTGCAGAAAGCAGCCGAGTTGCTGGATTTGTGGTTTTACCCCTTTGAGCTGGCAGAAGCGATTGAAGATCTCGGCTGGACCGTGCGCGCCGCCGTTCGCCATGTAGCTTGGCGGCAGAAGCGATACGTCTAGGCCACAGTAAGCAAACTTCGCTACTCAACCTGGTGGTGTCACATGACTGCATCCAACCCAGCGGATGCTGCCCTACTATGGCATTGAACTCAAAACGCTCCTGATAAGGTGGCCAAGTTTAGAAGCATCAGCTTGCAAGGGTACTTCTTGACGGTGGGCTCACTGGTACGGCAAAGCTTCGAGCAGCCAGTGATGTCAAGACATGCGATCGTACATGCTGGGAGCCAGTGTGCCGCATCCATGTGTATTCTCAACGCAAGAAGACACTGCGAGTATGGTTGTCTGTGTTGTCATTCCTCTATTTCTGAATTGGCCGATAGCATCACCAGATCGGTATCAAACTGAGCCTCCTACATTGCATACTTGTAAGATGCTTCCTGAACATAGCCGCTAATTGAGCTGGGCCCAACTGCTTTGCCTCGGTGCTCGGCAGGAAGAAGCTGGAAGGAAAGCGGTACCACTCCTGAACGAGAAAATTGCCGGATCGGGGTAGTCAGTGGTCTAGCGAATAATCTAGTGCGCTAGTGGACTTCGTCGCCAAGCACTTTCCAAAACGCTTTCGTGGGTTCTTCTACACTGACGACATCTCAAGCGCCGAACAGATGGTTTGTGACATTTGCATGTTGAACTGCTTGCCGTCTCGGAACGGCAGCCTACTGGACTACTGCAATCAGCAAGGTCGACATCCCCAAAATGTCTGTCCTTGCCCACGCAGACGCCACCTCTGTTGCTGGCTGAAGATAGACCAGCCGCTCCTTCGTAGTAAATCTTCTCCTGAGTTCAAGATGTTGGGGTGAAGCAGAAAATCACCGGTTTGGGCAGCAGGGGTCCAAAATGAACTTGCGCTACGACAGCAGGGAGATTCAACTCTTGCTCTCCGTCCCAGCAAAGCTGCGGAGTTTGCTGAAACGCTCAAAACTGCGCAAAACCCGAGGCCTGAACCCTCGACTGCGTTACTGGACCCGACACAAGATCCTAGGCTATAGAACTTCGTCCAGATAGGTGCAACTATGGAATATGCTGGTATTGGCGCAAACCCTGTTGCTTCTGTCGTGGCTTGACCCCCGATTTCCCGAAACCGCCTTTGCAGGAGTGTTCGGGCCGAGGACCCCAAGCGCAAGGCCTTAATCAATGATGAGGACAACAGTAGTGCTAGTGATGATGATGATGATAATAAGAAGTATAGTAGTAATTCTCATCAAGTAACAATAACACAAACAAAAATGACAGATAGCAATAATATGAATAGCAGACGAGTCCTTTGCAAAGCCGGGCCGCATAGAGTTGTAGCGGCGCTCTGAAGTGGAAGTGCAGGGCCGCACTTCTTGAACAAGATATGGTGGCAAACACCACCACAAACGCTGCACCCAAGAATGTTGACACCACCTCGCAGGCCAAGCTCGAATCTTGAGTCGGAACGTTTCTCAAGTTAAGCAGCTGCCCTTGGAGAGCACTTCTTCTCGTGAATATAACATAATATAACATATTGCAACATAATACTAAGACCATGTAATACTATTTATTTTGAAGCTAGCCTCCAGATTCCCCGGAGCACACCGCACTCGTGGCGAGGTGCGCAAGGCAAAAGGAAGCACGATCTTCACTATCTTTAACCCCAAAGTAAAGTAAGCCCAACTGCTCTCCTGTGCTTCTTTCTTTGCTCTGCCGGCCTTACTCGCCTTCCAAGTCCGTATCTTCGGAGCTGCGTCTGATTCTCGCAGACATAAGCCCACCTTAGATAACAACAAGAACAACAACAGTAATAAGAACGCAATAATGACATGATGATAATACGAATGGGACTAGGCTTCACACAGTGAGGACTTCAGCCGCATCGGGCTTGCAACTTCAGCGGCACGCGAAAAGCTAGATTTCACTACCCACGACGCCCAGCCGCTAGTTTTTCTGCACCGCAGAGCACAGCATCCAACGTGGTGGCCTTTGAATCCAGCTGCTCCCGCCGAAACTCAAAGGGAAAAAGGGCAACATGATGCAACTCGCCATTCGGCTTTGCATTGTCAGCTGAGGCTCTGCGGACAGGCAAATCAACGGATATACCATTGTCAGAAAGCCTCGGACATACACGAGGCTGACCGGATTTTGTGAGGGCGAAGGTAGACGCCTGAGGGCTGAACGTTCCTCTTTGTGCGCCATCTTCGTGAACATCGCCTCTTTGTGCAGATCACAGAAAAGCAGCCAGAGACGACTAAGACGGTTAATGGTCCTGGTGGTGGTGAGGATCAGCTTTTCATGCACGTCAATCCCCGAGCTTCGGCCGTTCACTGACTCACGCAGCCGGGATGCCAGCGTCACATACATCGGAATCAGCAGGAGTGTCAGCTGGCGCTGTCGGAGCGAGCACAGAATGGCAGGCACTGCCAACAGCGCGGCCAGGTTAAAGTTCAGCAAGAGGTTCCTGATGCGAGCAGAATTTCGCAAGCAGCCAGAGTGCGAATTGAGATTGGTAACCAGGGATCGAACTATATTCCTGCACGCAAGGGGCTTGGCATAGAAAGTCCACGGCTCCGTTCCGTAAAGATCTGCACCCACACCTCCACCACCGACTCCAAAGTTGTACAGCAAATGGTTGCCCATCCTTCGACATGCACACACAAACTCAAGTTCACGCAAGAATGCTCAGGCAAGGAGGGCGAGAGAGGGGGAGAGAGAGAGAAGCGAAGAGCTTATTTATAGAGAGAGAGAGAGAGAGAGAGACCGCACGAGCGAGAGAGAGAGAGAGAGAGAGACAGAGTGAAAGCATCAGTATGCATCAGTACAAAATTCAGCTACCATGAGCACAGGATCCAGCCCTCCCGATGCCGCTGTCAAGCATCAACTACAACTGTACCCAACACAGCAGCAACGAATGAAGCACAGCTTCGTCCAAACAGGCCAGCGCGAGCCATAGTAGCCTCGCGCGGAGTCCATTCCATGCTCTGCTCGTTACCCTTGAGGGGTGCATCATGGCATGCCTCTCGATCAAAACTGGCGTGCCCTTTCCCATGTTCAATTCACGTGCTGCAAAGGAGCTCCAGTCTATAAGTGAAGGAACCACCGCGAAGACCACGAGTGCCAGCGTGGCGACGCCGAAGACGCCTGCAAACGAGTTGACGCTGACGCATGGACAGTCGGGAAGCGTATGGGATCCTATGGGCTAGTCACTAGTCCAAATACCCGGCTAGAAATGCAGCCGATCGTCGAAGGAAGCCCAAATTCTGCGGGGCAAGTGCGGCTAGACCCATCGGCACAAACATCCTCAGCCAGGAGGCGCGAGGTTCTGATGCCACCAAAGAACCGCACCACAACATTCGTTCCAGAACTGGGCATGGCACGGCGCAGCTACGGCCATCCCCAAAAGGACTGCAAACGACCTCGGCCACGACAGTCGCACGTTTCTGTCTGAGGTCAGGAAAAATTCAGGAAACAAAAAGTTGCAAACCATCTGAGCTGCGGAACCCACATCCAAGTCCCACTGCATAGCGCCGGCGCAGCCATGCTGCAAATCCGAGGAGTACAGCATACCTTCGAACAACCCTTCGTTCTGAAGGGGCTTGACCCGGAACGCAACACCACTGCCGGTGGCCAAGAAACACAAACAATGCGAACTCTGGCTAGATGACCCCGTGGTCCTCCCTCACACGCACCTTGTGAACTAGATCCAAACCGCCCCGAAGACTGGATGAGGCCACGACCGAAGAGTTAGGAAGTTTAATTTGGATCTGCAGAACTTGTGGACATATCTCTGGTCTTTTCAAGTCAGGTGCATGTAGGTTGCCTTTCGGGTGTGCGTGGGAATCACATTGGCTTAAACACGGCTTTACGTGAGGGCATGCGCAGCATCGGGGGTTGGAATGCTCAGGATTCGCAGTGATTCTTTCTCTCAGGGCTTACCATGGCTTGCTATTTGGGGCGATTGTAGTATACGGATCAGAATGGGCACATGGTTAGTGACTAGAGATCAAACCGATCTGTAGCCAAGATGCATGCATGTGGTAGAGGGCAACACGGCGACAGAGGAGTGGAACATTCCGCCTGACATCATAGAAGTGTTCAATGTCTTCACGTCTCATGCAAGCGACCACACTCCTGACCACATCGAGCAAGCAGCTGCATTTCGAAGCGTGCTTCTGAGCATGCCACTTGCCCCAGCCAGAAAGCACAAGGTCAGGATTGCCACCTATGCACTGGAGATGCAAGCAACAGATGGTGCCGGAAAGATGCATGTGCACTGACGTGAGAATGTCTCTTGAAAGAAAACCACCCTTGTGCCGCAGGAGCATTGAACTGCATCGCAGAAGCTGGCTTCCTGATCTCTGGTGTCTGCACCAACGACAAGCACGACTGCGAATGGCACCACATCAAGCAGTCATGGTCGCCATCCTTACTGACCCACCCTTGCTGATGGAAGTCGCAAAAAGCGCTCGCAAGTCCACAGGACCCTCGAAGGCAGTAGAAGGCTTGAACCTGCCAAATGTACAAGTACAAAGCGTGAGCCAGAAACATGCCCACAGCCCTTTCGACTGTCGGATGTGACCAAGCAGAAACGATCGTTGCTTGGAAACAACTAGGAGTACTTCATACTTCCGCTTGCCGGTTTCGGCTTTCATGCTGGCTGTGGTGCAGGACCCTTGACTCCGTGAAGTGCACTGTGACATGTCGATGTGAAGTGGCATAGCCCTGTCCTGCATTGTCGAGTGCAACCACGTGAAGTGACATGAAGACGACTCAAGTGGCTATGGCGTCGTCAAGTGCAACCCTTAAATCCTCAACAGCACTGGCCTTGTTAAAGCCCGACAATCTGGCGAGGCGGATGGGAATCGCATACAGCTCAACGAAGACATACCTTTCGAAGGTTGAGAGGTGGCCCGATTGCCCGCTCTGGTGTGTGCTTTTGCGTACAAGCCGCGAGCGCAATGCGAACTGCGGTGAATACTCCTTGCGTAAGCCCCCGATTCCCCATGCGTGCTTCAACTGTGCATGTCGCATTGGACGATTAGTGCCGCAAGGGGCGCCCAGGTCTGCATGCCGGTGCCGTGCGTCACATAATGTATGGGTTCCTTAGCAAGGAGCAAGGCAGCACATGAATAGCTCAACCCAGTGATGCAGTACTGGGTACTGGAGCATATCAAACAACAAGCTCCAAGCTTGCCAAGCTAAGAGATCTGCACCGAACAGTGCTGCTGGAATTCTACATAGTTGAAGGTCTCGTCGCAATCCATGATTGGAGCCTGGGAGAGCGTGGTGTTCTGTTGGGAGTTACTTTTGTGTTTGAGACTGCGCACTGGCACACTGAGATTGGCTCCAAGACGGCGCAAGCCAGCCGAACGACCAGCAAGAAACTGAACATGGCCGTCCTTGGATGCTCGTGCTATCGTCCGGTATATGCGCACGCGATGATGCGAGAGCGGCCAAGAATGGCCAAGAAAGAACACAGCAGCCAGGAGGCATGCCAATTGCGGCTGCACCGCCAGGGCCATCTGCACGATCGCCGCTCATTCTGCAGGGCACATATCACACTGTTACTAACAGCATCTTAGCCAAACGCTGCGATGCACAGGCACTGGGTGCTGCACGTGCGTATATGTGCGTGAGTGCGTGCCTGTGCGTGCGCGCGTGCGTGCAAGGCGTTGCCGGCGACATGACTGTGCGCAAAGACTGGGGAGTCTCCTGACCACAAGCACCACCGTCCCTGAGATGGCTGCCGGATCAGCTTTCAAAGCGCCACACAGCCGCAACCAGCAGCTGAGTCTTCGGCCCTCGCGTGGCCTTTCTGAAAGCATCCTGCACTTCCTGCATTTGGGGGATGGCGATGGTAGCCACAGTCTTGCCAGATCTAGCTGCAGCATGCTGCAGCCCCCTCAGCGGGACGAGTGAGAGGTCCTTCTCTGCCAGTGGCAAAGCCCACTTGGCACGTCTCTTGAAAAGTGGCTCTACCTGAGCAGTCGGAACTTGGAGAAGTCCTCGTGCGTCCTCTCTCAAACATTCCTGGAAGCCATTTCTCAGGATCGGGCTGCCGACTTCAATTCCGATGTCAAGAGGGCACTTTGCCAAATTCTGTAGTCGTCCTGCTGCAACCACACAAGGATGAGGATGCGAGTGCCCTGGCAGGCTCAACCAGGCTCATGCCGGCTCCCTTTCATGCCTTTTCTTTGTGGTTCGGCCTTGCCTCATTGAAACTTCCGGAGCACTGCCCGGACTCCCGGAAGCATGAGCGCCAGTTCCCTGCTGACCTTCTGCTTTTGCTTTAGCTGTTCCAACTGGTAATTTTACATCTTTGTCTCCTGTCAGAGGAGGCAATGCCAAGGCGAGAGTCCGAAGCCCCTCAAATGGAAGCTGCCAGCTTTTGCTCTCCTTTCACCATGCCTTCAATTCCTGGAAGCACGCAGCTGCAGAACGGAGCTACTGACTGCATCTGAGCTGCAGTGCTCACGCCCCCATGAAGAATGAAGAATCTACAGCGATCCCAAACCTACAGCTCTCAAAGCTATCTTCACACCTCTGCCTCTCCTTCGGGGCTTATCTTAGCACCTCGTCACTTCAGGACAGGACTCTGCACAGCCACTGCCAGCAACGCCGTCTTTCCCCAGCTTCAGGGGTTGCGCTTTGCATTTGCTTCAGGTGCAAACTCTTCAGGGAGCTGATCTCTTCTCTTCGCTCTTTGGAGGCTTGGTCTTCATAAAGCTTCGTCTCCCCTGTCTGATGCAGGAGCTAACTCTTTGGCCTCCGTCCTGAATGCCATGCTTCCTTCGCCTTCCCTTTGGGCTTGCACCTTGCTTGTAACATAACATAATTCTAACTCTTCGTCGGGCTGCGTCTTATCGCTTGTCTCGTCCTCTTGTCTTGCTCTCGTCTGTGGTTTTGAGCCTTAGCTTTGCAATCGTGCGGTGATTGAGATCTTTGTCTTCATGCTTGCATTGCTTCCCAAAATCTTGGACCAACCTTAACCTCGTCTTTATCTTCGGCTTGGATTGTTTCCAGTCTTTCTGCTTTAGCCTTGGCCTTTGTGTTCTAGTCTTCTTGCTGCACCATTAGTCTTTGTCTTCAACTTGTGCTTGCTTTTGAACCTTGTGTTTTAGCCATAGTCTTTGTCTTCAACTTGCCTTCGCTTCTGGTCTTTGGGCTGGGGCCTCAGCCGTTCTCTTCAGCTAGTCTTTGCTTCTGGTCTTTGTGCTTTAGCCTTAGTCGTTGTCCTCAATCGTTCTTTCCTTTGGGACTTTGTGTTTTAGCCAAAGCCTTTGTCTTCAACTTGTCTTTGCTTCTAGTCTTTGAGCTTTGGCCGTTGTCGTTGTCTTCAACTTTTCTTTGCTTTCGGTCCTTGTTTATACTTTGTCCATAGTCTTCGTCTTCATCTTGTCTTTGCTTCTGGTCTTTGTGGCTCAGCCTTCATTCTTGGCTTTGACATTTGCTTTGGTCTTCTTTTCGACTCTGCCTTTGTTTTTTTTTTGATCTCCTGCAGGTCTTAAACTTAATTTATCCCGCCCCCTTTGCCCTTATCGCCATTTGCGTCGAGTCTTCACATCTGCTTCGGCCACTTCGCTTCGCTTAAGCATCACTTTGGCTTCTCTTCGGCTTTGCATGGTTTTTTTGCCGCAGCTCTTCAGAGCCAATGCCGACTGGTCTTCGTGTCCTCCTAGCTTGCTCTTGGATGGATCGGAAAAACGACCTACCAGCAGCCTCTGTAACTTTTCTGCGAGCAGCTGTCGTGCTGCCACCTGGGCAGCTTCCCTTCAATTCCTGTCGTAGGCGTGAGCACGCGCTAGGACAAGCACAGCCTCAGCCAGACGTTACCGCCCGACGCAGCTGACAGCGCACGGCGGCAACCAACTCTTTAAGCATATCTTCTGGCTTCATTGCGTGGCCTGATGGCGGATGTTGACGTCAGTGACACAAGACTACGGCACATGCAATTGAAGGCTCGTAGACTCATTCCTGGCGCCAGCCTTTGAACGACCACCTCGTGTTCAAATCGGAGATTTACGATCACCATCAGTCCTCTTCAAGCTGTAGCACACGAAGCCAAATGAACAGGATGTGCCTCACTCTCACGCAGCCCAACTAGATGGACTGGTTTTTTCTTCGAGTAGTGAAGTGCTGGCAGGATTGCGGGCTGACTGTAATGCAGTGAGGCTCGTGCTTGCATGGCCCACGACCTTTCAAGAAATCTGGACCTCGGCATGGCAAACAATCATCGGCAGGCCCCTGCCATGCCTACTACCGCATCCAAACTCTTCTCTCCGGATTCGGCCAGCTGCAATCACAGCTGGGTTTCGTCCCGATGTTCACGGTGTAAACCTGACGACCGCGTAAACTCTAAAGGATTTCCCAAGGCTGCCCCACCAGCAGGTATCGTGCAACTGCATATGCCAGCAGAACAAACACAGGGACATGGTGGGCATCGTGCTGCCGCTCCACCAAAATAAAGCACCACTTCAAGTCTCTTCCAACCATCTTGTCTTCTCTGGCACATGGGGAGCCACTTCCCTCCCGGAACCCGTAGTTTCGTATGTGCTCTTTTCGTTAATAACCTCATTTTATATAATCCCCCTCAAAATTATCGACCCCCCTCATTTATAACATTCGGTGCCCTTAAACCCAATTGTTTTCGGAGAGTTTCCTGATGGACCCTTCCATCATGGCAAAGAAAGAAACCACGAGCACTGCAGAGCTTCGGATGAGATTTCACACTTTCGCAAAAACAAACTGTAGAAGCCAAACCCTTGTTTGGGAAAGCTTTGCTCTAGAAGCCACGGGACACCGAAACTGCAGGTTTAGAGGATCTCAGCAACCATGTCTCCTCAATAAAATTCCTTACTCCGGCAGCAAAAAACCAATCCATGCTGAGGGAGTACTAACAAAAGCCGTTCTTCCAAATTATAAACCTCCCTCAATTATGCACTCCTCTTGGGGAGGGCCTTCTGGTGGTTCTTCCTCCTTCAATTATGAACTAATCCCGGGGAGACCCTTCCGGTAGTGGTGCGAGGAAAAGGAAAACAACCTTTAGAAGCCACACCCTTGATTGGGAAAGCTTTAGCTTTTGACTCGAAAAGGCAGCAAGCTGTAGAAGCCAAGCAATTTACTACGAGGGCAAAGAACAAAGAGCACCAGAAGAGGTACTATTGTACTACTGCTGTACTAGTGTACTACTATACTATTACTGTAGTACTACTGTACTACTGTAATGCTGTATTACCTACGATTGTACTGCTGCCGTACTATAGATAATACTGTACAACTGTACCATTGTAAGTAATACTGCATGGCTGTACTATTGTAATGCTGTGCTGTACTACAGCGACCGACCCCCCCCCCTTCAATAGTCATTCCCCCCCTGAAATCAATCAAGCGGGTGGGTATAAAACTGAGATTAACATTACCTTGTCCCATCCGTGTTCTGCTGGCCTCCATCTATTTTCGTCGTAAGGGAGCCCGTGTAAGATCCGAACGTTGCCGGTGCTGCCCAGCACGTGGAAGAGGCCCCCTGCTCCTGCCACAGGTCTTGCGCAATCAAACGGCCGGGGCAAGTAGTGAAAAGCGTCCAGCACGATGTCGTTCCAGCTTCAGCCTCCATATTTCAAAACGAACGAAACCCTGCCACCTTTCTCGATCAAATTCTGATCAGTGATCCGGGCTTCTGACAAGTACAATCTCTGTTCCAATGCTCGGTCGATGCGATCGCCTCACAGTCCGAAACTGAAGCGGTGCAATGCTGAGTTACACTGCGCTGTAGCCGAGACTGCCACATGTCGCAATGCTTGGCTGACGTCGAAAGTTTGCCTGGCGCACCTCCTGCATGTCATGCAAAACGCCATGCAAAGCTGCGCAGTTTCCAGCGATGCCAACTCGATCCAATGCCTTGCCTTGGGTGCAGCTTGCCCCCGGCAACGCTCGGCTGGCTTTGATCTTTGTCCTGGACAGCACCGCTTCAATTTTGCCAATGCTGCATCACCCAGGTGACGATGAGCTCTTGAAGTGCTATTGACGTGTGTTCTTCACCACGCCATGCTTGCCCGCTGCATTCTAAACTTCGCCACAAATTCTACAAATCTTGGAAATCATTCAACTTGACCTTGTTCCTCTATGGTCTGGCTCCAAGACTCCCATACAGATTCTTCCGACTCTCATTCCTACCTTGCGCAGAACAGTCTAGCAACGAAGACCAAGAATTTTTGTGCGAAACAGCGATCTCACTGGTATTGTTTTCCTACTTCCAGGACTGACCCTCCAACATCTTATTGGTGATGAAACTGCTGGGAACTCACGCGCGAGGAGGATCCTGGTGGTGAACAAAAAAAGGGGAAGGTGGACAATGCTATGACGAGATCATAGCAGGGGCCGCCGCTCGTCAAGCACGATCTACGTCGGCGCGAACTGAGTGTATCTCAGGGGGCAAGCGCCAGATGCTGCAACAGAGTGGTGCATGGCAGAATTCCTTTCTGCGAACATGCCGGGCGAACCGGCTGCGGGCGTTACGAACATTGTGGAAAAGCGAAACCGACTTGCGGCATAACTGCTATACTGTAGTGAGTAGCGCAACGCCCGAAGAGCCTCCACTGACGGGCCTGCCAGAAGGCCATCATCAGCGAAGCATGGACCCATGTCCAACAGACAAACAGAGGGATCCAGAGGGCTTGCTTGGCATGGATGCAGCTGTGGCCGCGGGTGTTCCCCGAAAGCTGCCTCGCCGCTTTGCCCGTTGCGCCTCAAGCGGAAGCAGAACCTGAAAATCTTTGCCAACGGGCGGGACCGCTGGGCACTCGGCGAACGCCGTGCTCTATGAGATGAACCATTGATGAAGCCATGGCAGCAGCACTGGCAGCAGCCACCCCTCGCCAGTCAGCCCAACCGGAGGGTGAACCTGAATTGGGGCGTCGCCGCCCTGGCTCGGAAGGGGTTATCAAAAAAAAACAAAAGCGCAACGCTGCCACGGAGTCCCCAGCTGGTGGTGATGTAGCACCTACCAAAGCAGCGCAAGAAATTCCCGTTGGGCCAAGGGTGGCAAGCTTTCCCCCATAGCCTCCTGAGCGGCCAATGTTGGTGGCCGCACATGCTTCATCCAAGCTTGGCAGGCTGGAGCGGACTGCGGCAACATCAATCCGACCACACGCGGTATCAAACCCCGCTCCCTCGGCGAAATCAAGCACGCAGTCGAGCTCTGTGGGCCCGGCCGCTGGCTCGCACGTGCGGCGCGGGCCATGGGCTTCGAAAGGCTATGCTGACCACGACCTGCTACACCGCTACAGCCAAACATGGCCAAAACAGCCGACCACCATCTCGTCCAGGCAGCGGTGGCTGCAGCTCGCCGTGTCGGCAGATTCGTTGCGCTCGGACACACGCGCATAGGCGGCCGTGCATGACAACTGTGGCATCAACGGCTAGCGGCCAACTGAGACCCATGCCACAGCGGCAAGCCGTATCAAGCCGTTGGCAACGACCTCGATGCGCCGTGCGTCAGCGACTGGCACATCGAAGTTCATGTCGGGCAACCGGACGCTACGGGCGCCGACTTCACGGCAGTCGGCGACCGCATGCTCTAAATGCAAAGCGCGCGTCGACAGTGCCCTGGAGGTGGCGCAGGCGGCACGATGATCGCCCAGGGGATCAAGCTGCCCATGGCAGGCGCATTTGCGCGGCGCGAGCGGCAGGGGCATGCGCAGGCGCCCCAGCAGGAGCACGCGGAACTGGGCGCTGGGGACCGTGACGTCCGGGTGGGTGGGTCACGGGCCTGAGTCTTCCCCAGGTCGTTAACGTCGGGCGCAGGCAGCCCAGCGCCTTGGGCATCCCAACCAGGGGCGTCGTAGCCGGCATAGCCGGCCTGGCGCACTCGCCCTTGCGCCGCGACCGCGGTGGCAGTAGAGGGGAGAGCAACTTCCCCTTGCAAGGCCTGAAGGAGTCGCTCTGCGGCTGCAGGCGCCCGCGCCCGGATAACGGGCAGCGTGTCTTGCCACGAGGCCCAATGCGCGGCATTGCTGTCTGCAACTGCGGAGCGGAGGCCGAGGCCTCCAAACCGTTGAGCCAAGTGGGCGGCTTGCACCCCTGTGGGTGGCAGGGGTGTCTCGCCTTGTTCGAGCAGCGCGGCTAAACAGCGGGCGACGGAGGCATCATGCGCAGCAGCATAGTCAGATGTGAGGTGCGGCGGCAAGATGCGCAGCCAAGCGGCTTGCAGATCATCAAGTGTAGGGATGCGGTCCTAAAAGCCGGTCCCGGTCCTGGTCAGCGCACTTCCGCTGGAGTTGGCGCGCGCCGAAGTCTTCGGAGCTCTTCGGCAGAAAGTGTGACTGTGTGCGCACATGCGTGCGCACGTGTGTGCGGAGATGGAGGTAGGTGTGCGTCTCCAACCGACCGAGACTGTTTCGGATAGTAAGAATTTATGAACAGGAGGACAGGCGCCGCACCTCGAAAACGACTCCGTGTGCCCCACAAGCATTCGGCATTGCATATATCGTCAGCGGCAGCAAGTCAAAACCAGCCAGTTCCCATGTAGATGCTCGATTTTGCAAGCAACCAGCACATAAAAACCAACCATTCCCCATGTAGGCGCTCGAATACGCAAGCACCAACGCAAGACACAAAGATACACAAAGTGGCATCACAACACATCCAAGCTCAAGGAATGATCACACACAGCACTGGAACGCGCAGAAACATATGATAAATGTTTTCAATACTGTCACTAGCCCAAACGCTGCCACGGCACATGGGATTTGGGACTACGTCGCCCCGGCAGGGGCGACGTAAACCTACGGCTATAGTAGCCCACAGAAGTGGGAACGATATGTCCAAGCCCGTCGCGGGCACTGTGGCGCAGAAGGCCGCCACGGCTTCTCGAAGGGAAGTGTGACGTTCGAGAACGCTATGTCGCTGCCAACCAGGCCTTCAAGGGCTAGAGTTCACCGTCAGCCGCTGTGATTATCTGGGGATACTGCGCCTTGTACACGCATGCGACGCAGTCCGGAGTGCTTGTCAATCCAGCCAGGCCCGCGAAGCTGGTATGCAGCCTCCGCAAGTGCGCGCAAGCAAGGCGACTCCGGTTCGCCTCCGAGCTCGCGCGCGAGCCGGTCTGCTGGTTTGGGGTTATCTTTGATTTTATTGTTGGCGCAGAACCGGACACGCATCTGCCCACGATTGCCCACGCAGCCCAGCAAGCGGTCGGCGATACCCGCCCACAGCTGCCAAAAGGCCGAAACCTCCCGGGTTCGGCAGCAGAAAAACGACCTCGCGATCGGCCTCGCCGGGGCTGCGGAGGCTCGTCGTCGCGAGCTCGGGCGGCTGGCAAGATGGTTGTAGTAGGCCGGACATTTCGGAGAAGGCTGCGCGCGAGGCGCCGCGGAGAAAGCGAGCAAAAGCCAAGCGCTTCCAGGCGCTTCATGTTCTGGGGCATCCCAGCTTCAGTTCTGGGCGGTCTGCGGCGTGGGCTCTGACGAAGTCGGGATGACCAACGGGCAAGCCCAGAGCGACGAACCCACGCTGAGCTGCACGGAGGTCGCCGCACCAAACGTCCGGGTCTGTGCCCGGCGCCTCGTTCGACCTCGCCGGTGACGACACGCATCAGCGCTGCTGAGTGTTCCGGGATGGTGACGACGTAGAGGTCTTCTCACTTAACACGGCCGCGCCCGCAGCCCCAGAAGGCCACTGCAACAGGCAACGACCCCACTGACGCAGCTTCTTGGCACCTGCGTGCATCGCAGCTTGAGAATGCACAGTTAGAGCACGCAGACGCTGGAAGTGTTGGTTGCAAGTTTGCCATTCTGCGACGCCCTGTGCTAAACAGTGCCACACTGCAAATGATGCAAAGCGTTGTCCAATCAATTCAGTAGCAACCATTGCAGAACAACTCTGGGCGAACACAGAAATGCCATCAGAAATGCAACATAATGCACCCAAGGAATGCTGAGTCGCAAGTGTCGCATGTGTTGGGCGGCAGCAAAGAAGTCAGAGGTAGAACGTCGCGGCAAGATCCCAAATAGCATCGACAAAACATTTCTGAGATCGATTCCACGGCCCCAACAAGCATTTCAGGCTATCGGACACCACAATTTCTGAGGGCAGCGAAATAATCTTGCACGTCGCCTGTGCAGATGGACTGGCGGTCGAGCCGCATGGACCCGAGATCGTCCAAGCAAGGGCCACATCACCAAGTTGGTGGGCCATGACGCTTCCCATGCAAGCCAGTGTCATTTGCCAGCTGTCGCTGTCAGGTACAACCACGAGTTTCGCTCGCAGGCGGATGGGCAACTTGCCAGACGGATCTGCATCATGCTCCGGTAGCCGTGGTTGCAAATCTGGTGAGCGAGGTGGAGTGAAGTTTAGCGTCGCTTCGTCGTGCAGTCGGAGCCGGGGTTCCAGAGAGGTGCGTTCCAGACTTGCCAGGAGGAGAGGGCGGCGGTGGCATTAAGTCAATAAGTACGTCCGCAGCCGTGACTGCGGAATCAATCTCGGATCCAGTAGCTGGTTCTCGTGGCGATCCACGGCGGTACAACTGATGTCGACTTCTCTCGGTGAAGGAAGGATATCTTTAAAATCTTTCGAATCCAGGCAACGCATCACCGTGGAGGTGCCGGCAAAGGAAAGTGAAAGTATGCTGGCCAAAGGGACATGCAGCAGGGAACGAAAGCAGCGCCAGCGCTTGATAAGGCAAAGATCGAAGCTGACAGAACAAGAAGGAGCTGGCACTGGCACCAAGAGGGGCGCATCCTTTGGACGGGCGCAATGTGCGGTGTTTGAATTCTATTGAACCTGAATTTCGACATTATGCAATGGGGCAGCAGTTGCAAAATGCTGTGAATCCCTTCACAGGCGGACATCAGTTTGCTGCAGCGGAAGAAAACAAAGCAAGAACAGCTGGGTGAACGAAACGCGAAAGCTCCTGGTTCTTTGTGCAAATGTCGCGGGCGTTGAGTTCCATCCGACCAAAGGCTGAAGGAGACCAGCATTCCCGCAGCCAGGCAGGAATATTGTGGAATGCAAGGCCGCGCGTCCCATGTGCAAATCGGAGGAGGGAGGCACCTGAGGCGCCGCAAGGCTTGAGAATGCAGGGGGAAGGCGGAGAGGCTGCGACTGGCAGGGTGAGCCGAAGCCTTTCATGCAGCCGGTGGCAAAATCTTCATTCCGGTTAACTTGGAATCCTGTGTGTGAAAGCAGTATTTTGGCCAATGTGTCATAGAACCCCATCGAATACGAGCGAGTTGGTTGGGACTGCGGCGCATCTGCTGGGCAATCAGGCCTACGCAGAGCGCACTGCCCCTTGCTAGCAAACTGCCAACTGCAGGAAGCCTACAAACCTAAACCCTAGGCCCTAAACCCTACATAAAACCGCTTGCGTCTTCGGCAAGCGCCCTGATGCCACAGCCTGGCCTGAGCTTGCTTTTGTTTGCGGCGCCCGCCTCCACGAGACAGCATTCAGGTTCTGTTGTTTGTGGTAATCGGATGAATCGAAGAGCGGTATGTCTACAGAAGCAGACATTACACTGAGTCTCACATTGCTGCAAGGTGCTGGGAACGACAAAAAGGTCTCTGCTGTCCACAGCTGACGGGGTCTCTTTATTGCATGCAACTCACCTTTGCCTTGGAGCGCTCTGCTTCGCGGTACTGCTCTTCAATGTCTTTGTCTTTGTCGTTCGTCTGGCTCTGCTTGCTGTGGCCGCAACTGCAGGATCTCCAGGAGAACCTCCACCGTCTGCTCACAACTCGAGCGATTGACTTCATCTTGAAAACATCAAAGGGGGCACATCTTGCTGCTGGCTTTTTGCAAACCATGGCTGCAAACTACAGGACTTGCACGATGGCGAATCCACCAAGGAAAGCTGCGCCGACACTGAATCTTGACACGATCTTGAAACATCCACCGGCCGACATGGAGGTTGCTTCCCCAGTTCGCGTAAGGGTGCTCCGTAACAAAAAACTGATGCCCGAGAGCTGGGATGGCCGCAGTAACACATTAGACAGCAGCAAGCTGTACGGTTTAAATTAGGGTCTCTAAAACCTAAAGCCCTAAAGGTTTCTCGAGGGGTATCGGAAACCATGGTGTCGACGCCACGGCGAAGGAAGGTTTGCCAAGCTTCGTGGTTCTTCTCTCAATCCGAAAAGATGTTGCGACACTCCCGCCTACATACTGTCAGACTACAATTATGTTATATTCACGTTGTATCATGTTATATAGTGTTGTATAGTTCTAAGTAGGGCCCCGCGAACTTAGCCTAAAAGATGACTTGTCGTACGTACAAACCTACCTATGTTGAACTTATCTTGACGTGCTTATAGGACTTATATTATAAGTTAACTTATAACTTTCTACAAGCTTCCATAAGTTTATGACAACTATTTTTGACGTTGAAATCTACCCGAAAATCTACACACAGTGTAAGCCACAAATCCGCCAAAAAGCACATACACAGACACCGGCAAAACAAAGACAAAGACATTAAGTTTTTGACACACACACGCACACAGAGACACGCAGAAACACATGCAAAACAAACGAAAAACACAGTAAACAAAGACACAAGCAAGCGAACATCCAAACACCCCGCCAGGTACACAAGCAAAACAGAAACACCCGAACAAAGATTGAGTTGTAGAACATATAATACAGCCAACAAACCAGCAACGAAACAAGCCGCCAACGAACACACACATCAAAACAAACAAAGAAACAGAAATGCGGAAAGAACCAAGAAAACAACGAAGAACTAACAAAACACATGATAGACGCCCACGCGTCCGCGCGCACACCTCCGCACGCACGCGCACACACACACACAGAGAGACACAGAGGCACTCTGGCGCGCACACACCCACACCCACGCACGCCTGCAGACACATTTGCAACGGAAAAAAGCAGAGACATGCTCTTTTCGAGTGTTTTCGTCCTGTCCGAGCCGCAAAGGGTGCCGTCCCGTTTTGCGGACCACCGCTGATTGGCAAAAATGCTACACAAGAGAAGAGCAACCACTGTGTTATAAGTTCGCCATAGGTATTATAAGTCGTTATACAACTACTCCATAAGCTTTCACACACCAGCCGCAAGGCTCGATCAGGGCACCCACCATTCCTATCACCAGCTGCTGCTGCCGCGGCAATAATGGTCATACCGTCGGATCTTCCGACGGTACTGCCAGGACCTGGGNNAATCCGACTGCCCAGCCCAAAGCCTCCAAGCCAACCCGGTGCGGGGCTTATGAGCTCGGAAGGGGCGGTCTCCCTGCTCAGGCATTTTGAAGCGCACTTCACTTGCTAGCTCCGGAGTGCCGACACTGCCGCCCAGA